CATGGTGACAAAGTTAAAGAAACAGAAAGACCTCCAGATGGTCTGGGATCAGTTAAAATATTTTTTTACACAGGTGGAGTTGATGGAATCACTTTATTTATGGATTTTTTTTGTGTTTGCTTTTTTCAGCTCTTGTCAGAGCTGTCAATCATCTTCAACAGGACAGATAGAGGACTAGCTCAGACCACCCAGAACACAAAGAGAACCTCTGCTCAGCACAGAGGCATCAGACGGTTTTAACACAACCTGCACCAGGTGCTTCTCTCTCTTTAAAGTGACCCTTAATAAAAATTTAAGATGAACACAAGAAGAGGCCGAAGACATCTGAACAGAAAGTCCAAACCAACTCATATTGAGAAGAAAAGTTGCTTTAGATCCACAATTTAGAGCCAAGAAGCATCAGATGTGAGTTTTGGAGAGAACACTGCAGCAATAAGTTCCCTTGTTTCTTCACACAGAAAGTCTTTTTTTTAATTGAAGCTGTGAATTAATTTAATGGATGTTCATCGTTCTGTTAAGACGATAAGAGGATGTAAAAAGATGCCGATGAGGTGCAGAGGGCAAAAAATGTTTTAGCATTTTTTATTTTTATGAGCGAATCTCAGCAAATAAAACAGTAAAGATTTGCTGCGTTGGACAGGAAGTGTGTTTCTGATCTTCTTCTAAACACACAAATTGAAAACTTGGGTGTTTTACCTTCCAGTGCCCTTGTTCCTGTTCAACTTCCTGCCACTTGTCTTCCTCCTCTCTCTGTCTCACCTGGGGGAGGAGGAGGAGGAGGAGGGGGGTGGTGGTGAAGGAGCTTCTGAGGTTATCCAGTCAAGGATTGCACCTCATCATTGTTTCTCTTGGTATTCAAACCACAGTTAGCCCCTCAGGCAGTAAAAGTGCTGAATCTCCTGAATACAGACTTCCTGTTGTCACTTGAACTCACCTGATTTCTCCGTCCTCTCGTTCCTCGTTCTGCTTCTCTTTCTTTCCTTGTCTTACGTCTTTTCTTCTCGTCCCTCCCTGTGTGTCCCTGCCTTGTGCCATTTTACTCTGGGCTTTTTGATAACGTGCACGTTGCTAATTGTGTCAGAACAGATGTTGTCAGACGTTACGCAGGATGAAAGTGGCCGCAGGGATGATTGGAGAGAAAATGTTGATTAGACAGAGGTCACCGAGTCATTTTCACAACAACATCCTGCTGCTACTCGAGCTCGCCAGGTCGTCTGGCTTCAAGTCAGAGTGGTTTGTACACACGTGCACACAGGCGTGTGTGTGGACATGTGTGTGTCCAGAAAATCTGAAAAGCTCATGTCATTTTCTGACCTCAGGGCAGCTGCAGAAGCTGATGCATGTTTTATAAACCCTCCAGTTAACGTCTACATCAAATAAACAAACTCTCTACTCTTTACTACAGTATTTATCACAATCACTGAATTAATAGAAATGTCTAAATGATATATTTGATTTGATTTGATTTG